TAATCAAAATAACGTTTATTTCTTAAAAAAGAAAGAATAATACTGTAGAACATAATAATTAACAAAACGTTTCTTTAAAAAAGAAAATAGAAATAAATAAATGTTGTATTTATTTATTTCTGTTTTCTTTTTTAAAGTTATATATAGTTATTTATGTCATTATTGAGCGAAGCACAAAAATACACTTTTCAAGCCGAATGACACAACATTTTTTCTTCAAGGCACAATATTATATATTTATTTATCTTTGGGCGGTGTATAATTTAAGCATTATTATTGTCAACACTCACTAGGTACTTAAGTAATTGAGACCGAAGCCAAAAAGACATCCGGCAACGCCGCAACCAAATAAATGACACATTCGTTTTAGAGCTGCCACTCAGGTTTAGCTATAGGGATCTATCTGTTTTTTTTTCTTTTTTTTCTTTGTAAAAACGATAATCGAGTTTATTAATATTAAACTGATTTGCGCAAAGCGCGTCAAGTTTACGCGGTCAAACCCACTACATCGTTGAGAGTCAGCAGGAGAGAGGCGAATTATTCACAGCTTGGTATAAGCTCCTATTTAAATGCAAAATATATCAGCCAAGTTCGCCGCAAACTGTTCGCGTTTATCTTTTGCTTTGAGGCGAAATAATAATAGCTTAGGTTGTTCTGATTGGTGGTTTTATATCACATGACCGTGGATGATTCTGTGTCTCAGTGGTGATTTTAGTGTGCTTCCCAGCGTGTATAGAGTAGGTGTTCTTGTTTTGATTCAGATTAAATTATTATCTTAACTTTTGGCTGATCTTTTATAGTTTTTATCTCGAATATTGTAATTTCTTATTTTATTATTGTGGTGCACTGGGGAACACACTATACAGAAAAGGTAGATTTAGCAGTTTTTATTAAGCAACAAGTTGTATTGTTTTAATTAAGGTTATGTTTTCAAAATACCAAAGTTTTCTTTAGTTAAATTTTACAATTTTTTTTAAAATGAATCCTGTTCATGACGTTTTTCTCTGATACTTGAAACGCCTTTTTTTTAAGGAGCGAAACTGAAAAAAGACATTATTAAAAATTTCAGCAATACTTAACGATAAGAGGCTGGGTAAGCAATATTCAAGAACTTTTCAAATATCTTGGTACGAAACCTATAGTGGATATGCGGAAGTACATATTTATAAACAAAGCGTATTCTGTTGGTCTTTTATTATTCCGCGAATATATTTTGATTGGTTAGAGTAATCGATAAATCCTAAGAGACCTTTTTTGTAGAGCGTTCAATTTCCGATAGACATGGTAAAATCTCAATTGTCGATAATTTTTTTTCAGTAAGTTACAAAATTCAGAACAGAAAAGTTATCTTTCTTAAAATTCTTCATTCTTTGACCTTGAATATCTCTTTAATAGTTAGATTGATCAAAAAAGTATAAGAGATCTTTTTTGTAGAACATTTAATTTTCTACAAATAACTCCCTTAGAGTTTTGCTGTATGATTAACGAATGATGAGATATGAATATTTTTGTAGGGGACTAAGAAAAATATGCAAAACTGTAATGAGGCGGATCTTCCCATCAAAGTTAAGAGCTCATAGTTGCTAAGCATGTTTTGAAGGTGCCCAGAAACCGATTTTTCAGTGGCAGATGTCAAAATAAAAATAGTCGATTTTTTTGACCCACCATTTGGGTTAAGATTGTTTTGATATTTTCTTTGTTTTGTTTTTTTAGTTTATTATTTTTATTTATAATCGTTTAGTAGGGTTATCGGCCATTTTAATTTTTTTTATATTGTTCCTACAGTTGTACAATTTTGTAAGTACCTATTAACTACAGAAGACTGTATTCAGGAGCTTTAACTCCACATACACGTATAGATAGAAAAATCGTCGATCGGAAGGAGCGGTGGACAATACGCACACCGTCGACTCATGTGACTAAATGCCCGTGCACAGTTGGTCAACGTTTGGTTTTTTAACTTGGTAACCTGCGCACAACCCTAATTTTGTGTTCTCGGTCGTTGTACAATTAGGGCATTGTTTGTCAATTTTTGACCAATCCAAAGTAATTGTTGTGAATATTGGACTAGTACCAAATGCAGCGAATATTGTTCTAGCACAAAAGTAACTTAAAAATTGATAGTAACGAGGTAAATATTTTGGGCAACTTAATTTCGATGCCTTTTGATTTGAAGTTTTGGTTTTGTCCAACGAATACCACTAGTAATCAAAAATATAAGTTGAATATTTTAAGATGTGATATTCGTTATATTGTTTGTGGTTCCCAAACAGTACAAATATATCTTGAGGATATCTTAAAGATGTCGTAACTCGTCATTCAAGGCGTCTTAAGCACGTCTGTTTTTGCCGTATACGGCAATACGGCATATAAAAGACGGCCCAAAGACGTCGTTTGTTATAAAAGGTAACGCCTTTAAGACCCCTTTTTCAAAATGTGTCCAAAACATCTTTCTGACGTCACATTTTATTACCCCGCTTTCTCCCTTGGCCTAACTGCATGGCCATGTTTTGCTAACTCCCCCCCTCATCCCTAGGGCGTCTTAGACGTGCGTGACGTTTTTTATGCGGGCTCCCAGTACAACAGATTTTGTTATCTGTAATTAATTAAATATTCCGCGGCGGCACAGTGCACTACAGTGGTCTGAGAGGTAAATGTACGCGGCAAAAATTATTCTTTAAATATTTTTCCCAACGCGTGATTTTTTTTATCTTTTTACCGGTGCAAAATTCACTTCCGATATAATTTTTTTTAATATATTTGTTATTGAAGAAGTGTGGTGGATTTTGGGTATACCGATATCTCAATTATTAGATATGGGACCCACACCAAATTTATATGAGTTTATAATGACATTAAATAAACAAGTTCTGCGCAAGCATAATTTAAATTGAAGTTTGCGAAAAAAATATAACTTTTTGCTTGGCCGTGACGGGCATATGGCGCCCGGGCGCGCCCCCAATAAATATAATATAAATTTAATTAGTGCGATTTATTATTTACCATAGTTTATCGACAAATTTCAAATTTTATTTAAAAAATCCAAATCATACAGAATTTATATATATATATATATTTTTAAGTTTTATTAGCTTTTAGGCTTTTTCAGCCTATTTAGCCAGCACATTATATGTATTTTTGTCTTAATAAACAATCACAACACCCAGGGCTGTGACCGGGAATCGAACCCGGTACCGCAGAATTTATATCATTTTAAATTTTTATTATTTCTTATTTACCTATTGTGGGTATATGGTTGCGAATAGTACCTACTCGTGCTGCGCACTCATACCGTTGAGCAATATTCGCTGTATGTTCTGTGTTTATACCTATCACCCCTCAAAATATTCGACATATTTTTGATTAGTTACCTACTTATAGTAGGTATTACATTTTAATATTTTTTAATTATTAAATTTTCTGAAATGTAGGACAATAAATAAAAGTGAAATTAATTATTAATGTAAACAAAATTAAAACTTTCGAATGTTATATTTTATTCGCTTTTTAGATTTTCTCTAAATGTTAATTTTAACATTATCTATACACCTATGGCCAGTTTACCTAATGCGAAATAATTGTAATAAAATTTAACAATAGCAACGGAAGTAATTACTTAATTAGGCAGGTTTACATGATTTCGGTCAATAAGGTAATACATAGGGGTCAGAGCTGAAACCGCCCAAGAAGCAAAAAGTTAGTTTTGAGATAAACGTCTTTAAAGTTTTTTGATGTTTTGAAAATTATTTCAAATTTAATTTTTTTTTATTTCACAATGTAGGTAATGCTTTTTATATTGCTATAAATAAAAAATAGAAGAAAAAAACGGAATCGAAAATTATGCTTTTTTGCATTACTAAAACATTTTTATTTCTAAGATATTTTATTTATAAGCTGATTCTAAGATATCACAGTCGTCATCCTCATAATCCAGCTCATCTTACAGTGGAACTTTTATTTTTTTTAATTTGATGTACCTACCAGGTGCGGCTTTTCTCGTTAGGTAAAGACTTTTAGTTCTTTTTTTTTTCGTGTGCCAAGTTTATATAAAAATCATGATATACAGGGGGAATAAATTCCATTAATTGTTGCAGATTTTGACCCTTTAAAAATTTTATTTTATATCCTTCTGGGTAAAGTTCTGTTAAAGACAATTTTGCTGGTCTACCAGGGGAAATTATATTACAATTTTTAGATAAAGAAAATAATACAAATCTTAATCTAAACTTGTTTTAAACTTCAATGAGTTAAAAGTTTTAATGACCCAAGTGCACTTGGGCGGTTTTAGAAATAAACGCATGTCAATGTCACAGTTTTTTTTCTCCCGCTCATAAATTAAACCAAAATCAGAATAACATAGAATAATCATTTAGGTTGTTTTTGAAACAATTAAAACAATATTTCTAGTAGAAATTTTCTACTACCTATCCGGTAAGACGCTTAGGTACCTACCTATAAGTATAATATATATATTATATATTGGACGATTTCAGCTCTAACTCTATAGAGTTATAATGTATATATACGTATATAGTATGTACATATCGCCGGGTTACTGCAAGAATAACTTTTTAATTTTTTGACTTTACTGCATTTTTTAATTGTTAAGGACAACTCAACTACGAGCAACCGATCAATGTCAAGCGCAACAAAAATGGTATACCTAAAGCTACTCTATTTTTAGTAGGTAAATGACAATAAGTAACAAATTCAAATTACTCCAAAACAGTGTTTTGGGAGTTATTTGGTTTTTGCAGTAACCCGCGGGCTAGTCGCGACTATATAAAAAAAATAAACACACTTGGATCATAAAGCAAATTAATGTAGGTACCTATCAAATTAAATAGTTTAATTTGGTTAGCTCAGTGGATAGCACAGATAGCGCCCTTACTAGCCTAGTAAAAATATAGATTTCATTGGCGTTCAGGGTAAAATCAACATTTTAAATATTAAATGAAGGATTTTACTAAAATTATTTTAGAAATTTTTTAAAAACTCACCCTTGTTTCAGGCACATTTTTGACAAGTGAGTGAAATCCAAATTTCGAGCGCACAATCAATGGTGAGTGTCTTTTAAAAATTGGCGAATGTCCCCACTGACACAATTTTTCCTGCACACGAGCACATATTCTACTAGAACCTATAGAAGCCATAGCCGCAACTCTTGTGAGCTAGACTGATATTCCTCCAGCAGCAAGGAGCCACCTTTCTACCCGTCGTACGTGTGTTGTGCTGTGAGCTCGCGTGAAAACTACGCTACTGTCCCACTCTTTATTGATAAACTTGAGTTATGGCTGCATCAATTGTGAATCGATTGAGAATTGTGATTCAAAATTTTGAAAACATCTTGGGCATCAGCACAAAAGGATATCCAGGTAATACATATCTTATGTAATAAGCACGTTAAAATTATGACACTACAACATAACCTCACTTTTTGACAGATGCGTTTTGCCTTGTTGGGTGCGAAACAAACAGTTTAGCGAAAAACAGCCAGCCCCCGTTTTCTATTAAGGATATCATTGGCGATGGGCTGCTATGGGCTGTGCCAAAACACAGGAGATCCTTGGAAAAAAGGCTAAAAAGGAAGTTTGGCCATCCTGACTACAATCTTAAAATCCTTCTTCCAAATAACAATATAAGGACTTGCACTAAATGTGGAGATGACCATGAAGCAGGAGTATTATGTCGTAAGTTTAATTTATTTCTTTCAATTTATATTTGAAAACCAGTCTAGTCATTATAATGACTAAAGTATACTTATGTTGACAGATAAGTATCCCTAAATATTGCCTACTACAAAAATTATAGGTAGGTAGGTATTACAGGTAAATATGTACCTTCAATAGTGTTTGTTTCCAATAAAAAACAAAGAATAAAACTCGATTTTATAAAAAGTTTTTAAAAGACAGTAAAACATTGTAAAAACAATAATTCTACAGAATATGTAATATTAGGTACCTACATCAAAGATTATAAAAGATTTTACATGTTTTTTTGTCCAGTGGATAATATTGCACCAATTGTATTCGCAATTGTTATTAATCATTATCACACTGTAGTATCATCATGGTAACGGGTAACATTTCTCACCTGAAGAAGGTAGGGAGTGAAAACATGTACAGGGGAAGGAATAAGATTGTTTACAGTTGGAAAAATAAATGGCATTCATTATAAAAAACCTGTACTCATTGCCCACGAGATACAGTACATACCTCAGATTTGTATAAAAATTTTAATATAATGCCAGTCGAAAATATTTATTACTTTCAGGCAACCGCCTTTATTTTTAATAATCTTAACAAAAAAAAAACATTCCAATCTAACTCTTACGATACGAAATAACATACACGCTCATGATACTCGTAACAACAATTTATTAGATTTGTATCCTTTTACCTCCTATTTTGGAAAATCGTCTATATTGTATAAAGGAGCCGATAAATATAACGAACTTGTAAAAAAGTATGATTTATTGAATATAAATGAAATAAAAAAACACTTTAGGCCAAGCTAATTTATGTATTTTGTATATGTACAGGATGTATTTGTGTTTTAATAATTAATAGGTGACAATATTTTTATTGTATTTATATGTAAACTGATGTATATTTAATTAGAGTTCCCTCTGTAAACCGCATTGTGTTTTTTGGGTTTATAATAGTTATTTATGTATTAAGGGCATAATAAGGTTTTTATGGTCCGAGGCGCTATTTCGAGCCCGAGCGCGTTAGCGCGAGGGCTAGAAAAGCGTCGTAGGACCATAAAAACCAGTTATGCCAGCAATGCATACAAAACTTTATGAACGATTAATATATCATTATTTTTAATATATTATTGTTTTTAAAGACGTTTACGTCAAAGAATTTTTGTTATAATTGTCATATTATAATGTCAACTGACATCAGTCAGTTTTAAAGTTTAAAGATAAACGAAATTGAGGAAGCAGCTGAAAAGGCGAAAAATTGCGGCCTGCTGCCGGTAAAATCAAAATCTTTATACGAAAAAACTTAAGGTAAACGTCCCAATTATCGACACCTTAAGAGATTTTTCTAAATCATATCGTTATAAAAATTTGCATATTAAAGTTACACTTTTAACAATTTTACTGTGGATTGTTATAATATTGATTATTGCTTTGCAATGTTTATTTTTTAAATAGCAATGCGTAATTTATTTGCAAAAAAATAAATTTGTTGAAAAGTACCATTTGACCCAGTTATCGACATGGGAAAATTTGTCTTGAACCAAATATCGACACCCTTGCGTACGTAATATCGACACTCGGAAAAGTAACTTGCAATCGATTTAAATGGTTATAATAAGTAACAAAGAGTTTATCATAAAAGTTTATTTATTATAAAATATAAGCAGTATTTATTGCAAACAAAAATGTTTGACGATAAAGGTATTTTAAACACTGAATCACAAATCTCCAGTACGCAGTAAAGTCCGCGTTTTTTTTGTTCCTTAATTTTTTAAGGACCTCTTCTCTATCATACCAAAGAATATTATCCCTTTGTCCCATATCCCATATCCAATTGAGCCCATTTTTCTCCATATGTAAGACTTGGTAATCAAACTCATAATTTTCTTTACAATGATATGTAAATAATTTTACCTGGTAGTGATTGATCGTTATAATTCACTATAACATAATCGTTTACAAATAACTTGTCATGTTTGTAAATGTTTTTTTCCCATTTTTCACTATTTCCAATAATGTTCATTTTAAAACATTATTTCTGAAAAAAATAGGTTGAACCAGTTATCGACATTTTTTGTACCAAATATCGACATATAAATTACATCCACTCCACAGACTTTGATCCACTCTAACGATGTTACCAATGGAAAAAATGGGTGTCGATAATTGGTACAGCGGTAGTTTAATATAATTTCCTTTAAACTCTTCAGACAGAGTAAGAATAAGTTTGATAGACATTTAAATATTCATAAGAAAAGAGAAAGCTACATAGTACCATTTATCGACACCTATGTCGATAAATCGTACAAAGCCTAAAAATGGATGTACCTTTTATCGACACCACATAATTTTACGTTTATACTGATTCTATGCCAAATTATTGGCAAAAACCATACATTATAGATTCTGTATATAAATATACAACTATCTACATAAAGAAACTTAAATATTTTAAACTAAAATTGCCATAATTAACTTACCTGTTTCTTAACACTTTTCTTAAGGATTTGCACAAGTTCACAGATGACTGCGGAATGGCGGGATTAAAATATTTTTTCAATTAATATTTTCTGCATAACCGACCGAAACTTTTTAGGAAAGGTAGGGAAAACCTACTTGTTTCTTATTTTAATATGACAATAGATGTCCAAAGCATCAAATTCTTATTTTTGAATGTTTAGTGCACAAATGTCGATGATTGGGACAGTGTCGATAATTGGGACGTTTACCTTACTTAGAATATATCAAATGGTGTAACATTGTTGTTTTTAATTTTTGACGTTTCATTATAGCCCGCTGGGCCATAATAACGCCCGCGGGCTATAAAAAGACGTTTACGTCAAAGAATTTTTGTTATAATTGTCATATTATAATGTCATCGTGCATAAATGTATTTTATTATTTTATTTATTAATGACATATGAACAATCTTATTCCTTCCCCTGTATATATTTTCATTCCCTCTATTTTATCAGTTAAAAAATGTGTCATTCCTACCCGTTACTATGACGACGCTACAGTGTGATTGACTTTAAATGTAAACGTCAGAATTAAATTAAACGTCAGATTTTAATTTTGACACAAGTTTTTTTGCGGTTACCCAAATTGTGTATTTGTAAGCGATTCCACTCGACAAAAAAGTATAGTGTTAACCTCGCGTGAAATCGAAATTACTCCCTCAATGAATTCCTTTACTCGCCTGTCTGCTCGCAAGGCTCCATGAGACTGCCAGACAAATACTTGTAATAATAATTGTCAGACAAATGACAAAAAATTTATTTTTCTACTCTCACCTTTAAAACGTCCATTATCGTAGATGTTTCCATGACCATGGCCATGAAAGTGACCTTTTAAATACACATTGAAAAGTTGTAGCTTTATGGCGTTTTAGTCACGGGCTGAAGTTAGCAACAGGTTTTTAGTCACGGGCTGAAGTTAGCTTTAAGTTAGTTGTCAGTTGTCAAATGTCATACAATCGTTAAAATAAAGTGCCCTTCTTAGAAAATAATACTAAATGTGAAAATTAATTTATTATCGCAATACAAAAGTACAAAAGCATTAAATAGTTTCTCAACGCCAATATTTGAAAAGTTTATATGAACATTGTAGTGACCTTTTAATTTCGCCGAAAGTAAACTGGATAGGTATAACTTAAATTCGAGCTCGGACTCCATATAATATTATATCCCTGCAAGAACTCACTAACTAACATATTATTATTGAGCTTCAAGATAAAATAAATAAGCAAACTATAATACTATCGTGCAAAAACGACCATTTTTAATATTCTAGGCATCTAGTATGGTAAATTTTTATAGTTAGGTACAATTTGTTAACATTTTTACAAAATGTCAGTTAGTGACTTTTGGCAGGAATATGACCAATAAATAAGTATGGTTTGTTCCACAATCCACACAACAAGGTCTGTTCTATATCGTTCCACAATCCATGGATTGTGGTTTGTTCCTTAGCACACACAACTTTTTTGGGCCTGTGGAATTAATAATTAATTTTTATAGAATTATCAATGAAACTAAAGAAATAATTATTAAAATTTATATTTTCTAATTATAATTACAATGATAAATGAAACCGTTAAAATAATTTGAACTATAAAATAACGAAATACCTATTGTTTAGGTTGGTACTATAAAAAATTGTATAATAGTATATTCTGTAACAAGTTTGGAATACAGCATATTCCGCTCGAGTGAAGAGTTTGTCACACGAGCCTAAGGCGAGTTTGACGGTTTCACGAGAGCGGAATATGCAATTCCAAACGTGTTTCAGACTATACTTTTTCTACGTTTCCAAAAAACACCATAGACAAATAATTTAATTGGAAGAAAGTGAGGTTGGATCGGTCTAAAATTTGTTAGATATTAAAAACAGAGATGTCGCCACGAGTGTATATTCTGTCATCAGATGATAGAATATTTCGTTCTGTAACACTTTACGGAATAAATGTCATTCCATAGATAAATGTGATATTAGAACGGTCATATTCCATAATAGGAGTAGAAAAAAGTATTTTTTTGACAAAAATTTAAAAACAAAAAAACATCGGTACTTAAATTTAATAAAATAAAACATTGTTTTCTTCAATGAAACACCCTGAATATTTTTGAATAAGTATTTAAATAGAGTTTTTTCTTCTGGTTTTAAAAATATATATTTTGTATATAGTTTTATATATTTATATATAGGTGTTTTGTTAACTAACCTGAAAATTATGCAAAATTTAACGCGAGAATCATGGTTGCCATGGACAAACAACTTTTACCCTAAAAAAAGCATGGCGTTTTGTTAAAAATTAATATTAAACGCATGGTTATTTTATTACGTAAGTTCTTTTATTTATCCATGGCAAATATGATTTTTACCACAGGTCTGTGATTTTTACGTTAAAATAAACCAGGTTTTAGGTTCAATTATTAATAAAATGTTTAATACAAACATAAACAAATTATATATTTTTATAATTGGAATAACAAACTCTATCTAAATATTCAAAAATACAGGGTGGTCCATTAAAAAAAAAACAAGTTAATTTTACCAATGCTTTTTTGTTTATTAATTTTTGTAAAAAAAATGTAAATTTTTAATATCTCTTCAAATGAAGATTTAAGAGGGGTGTCCCATTTATACAAAACACCCTGTACATATATTATAACATTTATTGCTTTTTATTAGAATTTGATCAGTTAACCCTATTTAAGATTCGGGTTCAGCTGGAAAAAATTCAATAAATAAGTATGGTAGGATTTATTAATCCATGGTAGAAACTCTAATCACACACAACTTTTTTATTTTGTGGTGCCCAGTTCCTAGTTCTAGGAAAAAATGTTTTGTGAAATAATTGATTATGCCTAATAATATTTTTTATTGAACAATTTGAATTTTCTAATGGAACCAATTAAATAATTCAAACCATTTGAATTATATATATAGTTCAAACTATAGTTGAATATTTGATTCGAATTTTAAAATATCTGTCAAATTATTTTCACTTTCTTGTGATATTAATGTGGAAAATTTTGCACTAAAAATTTTTTTTGAGAAGCAAATGTTTTACGCTATAGATTTTTTAATCTTCAAAATTGTTTTTTATTTTTTTAAACAGTTGTTCCTAGTTATAAGAGTTAAAATAAAAGGTTTTTATTACAAAAACTAGCGTAAAACTTTTCATACTTCAAAAAATAAATATTTCAATTCACAGCTTTTCCCCTGAAGTCTCCAAATACTGAAAGACTTTTTGTACTATTGCACAACTTATTTGAAAATTTCAGTACCCTAATGTCAACTTATAACACACATATTTATTAATTTATCAAACGTTGACAATAAATAAACTATTAAACAGGTAATTTTTGGACATTGTCCTTATTTTAAATTGGGTTTTTTACGATTTGAAACATTGTCTAGTAGACAATGTCTACAACCTTAAAAAAATATACAATTATTAAGTTAAAGTACCAAAAAAACATTGGTTGCAATAATTTTTTATGTAATATAAACAATAGTTTTTCAATAATATAATTTTTAGCAACTTGTTACAAGAAAGTCATTGATGAAACCAAAGAAATGCAGGATGCAATTCAAACAGAGTTAAAACTGGATCCAGTGGAAAAAGAAGTTGTTGTCTTGTATGATGGAGAAAAGGGAGAGAAACCTGAAGAATTTTGGGAAGGAAAAAGAGTAGTTGAACTAAAAAGAGAAAGACCAGCTTGGTTTAGTAAAAATCTCTTACAACAATCCACCCAGAAACAAACCACAACCAAAGATGTTAAACCTTCAGAATTAGGATAAATATATATAATATAATATGCATATATTAGGGTGATTCATTTCCGCAAAGTTTTTGTTTTTTTTTCGGTGCTCAAGCAAAATATTAATCTGCATATAGGAAAAAACATTCTCACCAAATTTGAGCTCTTAATATTAATTTTAAGCACTATTTAAATTTAAAGTTTTACCGTTTAAAATGCATGTAAAAAATATATTTTTTTTTTCAAATTTCTAATGCTTACCCACCTTTGACAATATTGCAAATCGGTTTAATACACCTTATGGGGAATTTCACGCTCTTTAAAATTGCTTTTGAGTTTTTTTTTGTAACTCGCATTGGTTCACCAGTAGGAGTCGTCAAAGGACAGTTTTTGAAAAAAAATCGTTTTTTTTTTAATTTTTTCGAGCAAATCGCCAAATGTAGTGAGAAAAAAGGGCTGATTCATAAAAAAAAAAGTTATCCAACCAATATTTAATGAATTTACTGCCATTTTTATAACTGAAAACGTAAGAAATTGATAAATACCAACCCATAATGTTATTTAGATTGATTTTTTCTATTTATTATCATTATATTTCCCTACACTAAGAACTTTTTTAAAATTATAATTTCTCACTCATAATGAATATGAAAACAACACATAAATTCATAAAAAAACAACAAAACTTTAATCGGAATATACAGAAGGTTATGTAACATATTTCAAATTTCGCTTCAAAAAATTAAATAATCTTCATTTATATTTTTTTGCTATATGACAGAAATGTTGAAAAATTGCGAAATCCACGTTACAATTTTCTTATTGTTTTTTTATGAATTTATCTGTTGTTTTCATATTCATTATTAGTGAGAAATCAATAATTTTAAAAAACTTCTTAGTGTAGGGAAATATAATGATAATAAATAGAAAAAATCAATCTAAATAACATTATGAGTTGGTAATTATCAATTTCTTACGTTTTCAGTTATAAAAATGGCTGTAAATTCATTAAATATTGGTTGGATAACTTTTTTTTATGATTCAGCCCTTTTTTCTCCCTACTTTTTGAGGTTTGTTAGAAAAAATTAAAAAAAAAACGATTTTTTTCAAAAACTGTCCTTTGACGACTCCTACTGGTGAACCAATGCGAGTTACAAAAAAAACCTCAAAAGCAATTTTAAAGAGCGTGAAATTCCCCATAAGGTGTATTAAACCGATTTGCAATATTGTCAAAGGTGGGTAAGCATTAGAAATTTGAAAAAATATATATATTTTTTACATGCATTTTAAACGGTTAAACTTTAAATTGTAAGTACTTAAAATTTATATTAAGAGCTCAAACTTGTTGAGAATTTTTTTTTCTATATGCAGATTAATATTTTGCTTGAGCACCAAAGAAAACAAAAACTTTGCGGAAATGAATCACCCTAGTATATATATATATATAATAAAAAATTAAATTGTAGTATAGTAGTTTGTTATGTAATAGAATAAAAATTCCAATAAAAAAAATATTTTATTGCTATTATTATAATAGTAGGTAATATAAAATAACAAATAATATATTTGTGTCAAACAATCTCATATGAATCTCCACTAAAATGGTCTTCTACATGTTGCTGAAATTCTTCAAATGCTGTGTTTTTATAATATGATTTACTGCATATGGGGCAAATTTTATCAATTTCTGATAATGATGCTGACAAATGGTGTTCAGTGTTCTCACTAGTAGCTTCTTTAACAGGAATTAGTTCATCTGTTATGGTACTTTTTTCAGAACACTCTACTTTTGGGGCAAGATTTTTCTCATATTCTAAAAAAGTCAATATTTACATTTTGAATATAGGACCATTCCACGCTTAACGGATAGGACAGTTGCCGTGTTTTTATTTACAAAATAATATTGTTCTATTATATTACCAATGTCAAATTTTTATAAATAGTTCTAAACAAAAGCTGTTTAACAAGGTTTTTATTTGGCAAAATTAGGTATCGTGATTGACTGTTTAATTCCTTAAAAATTAATAATTTAAAGCGTAACGGACGGGACTATTACAAAGTCCCGTCCGTTACGCTTTAAATTATTAGTTTTTAAGGAATTAAACAGTCAACCACGATACCTAATTTTGCCAAATAAAAACCTTGTTAAACAGCTTTAGTTTAGAACTATTTATAAAAATTTGACATTGGTAATATAATAGAACAATATTATTTTGTAAATAAAAACACGGCAACTGTCCTATCCGTTACGCGTGGAATGGCCCTATAGTAATTTAAATTACCCACCTTTTATTTTTAATATACACATTTTAAGAAGATTCTGGTCCTGAAGAGCCTCATTTTTTAAAACTTTAATTTCTTCCAATACAGCATAAAAATCATTGAACATATCACTGCCAATATCTTCATCACAGTAAAATGCAAAATTTTCTGTAACAATTGCATCAACATTTTGCAAGTCTTTAATCTCATAACATAAAGCTTCCAGTTCTTGTTTTTCCTTTGAAAAGCTATCAATAAGCTTGAGAGATATATTTTCCAACTCTAGACTTATTTTATCATTTTCTTCTAAATTTTTCTGTAATAATTTAGAATGAGGCTCAACTTGAGTAAAAGTTTTAGATCTTATTAAGGTTGATGTATGGTTTGATATTGTATCATTTATTTTGTTTAATTGTGTTCCTAAATTATGATTTACTTTGGTAAGTTTACCTAATTTACTCCACAATTCTTTATTTTCTGTTGTAACCATATCAATTGTGTTTTGAAGTTGCTTGTTTTGTTGAGTAACTTCTGTTAAATTTTGTCTAACTTTATCACTTTCAGTTAACGACTGATTTTTGTGTTCGGCTTGCAAGCAAGTTATTTTTAGGTTTACATTTTCTTCCTCCAATTCTGCTATTCGGTGCTGTAATGTCCTACATCTTTCCTTTAATGTATGGACTGCAATTTGGATGGCATATTGGGCTCCTACAGGCTCTTCCATATCTATTTTTCATAAATAAACACAATTATACACTTTAATCTTATTTTTATTTGCTTAAGCAGAGATTGTACACTGATTTAAACGTATTTAAGATTAATTAACTGACAGGTATAAGGAAAGCTCCTAAATGTTTACATTTAGTTTGTAATATAAAAAAATGTTTTATTGACTATGTTTTGACGTTTTTAAAGACACTGACGTTTGATGCTACCAACATAACAACATATTTTCCCTGTGGTTTTAGTTATTTTTTGTTGTAATTTGGTTGGTACATTTTATGTAATTTTATTTGGTTGGCAGTTCTCTTGGGTCATCGAAGATCTGTCAAGATTTTCATTAATTTATTACAATAAATTCAGATTACCAGTCCAAATCACTACAAAAATGGACCAAGCTCCAGTTCGTGTATCACCCCTTATCAAGGTAAATATTTAAATGAACTTGTAAAGCACTTATTTTTCGTTTTACTTCTTATGTAACAATCCTAACCATAACCTTTTAGTTCGGTAGATGGAGTTTCCTCGGCGTAGGAGTAATGTATGGTGCATTCCACCAAAACAGACTATCAAAGAAGGAAACAGCTTTCAGGGAAATCGACAACAAACGCAAAGCTGAACGCGATGCTAAATTGGCCATTGAAAAGAAAGTTGCTGCCGATAGAGAAATTAAAGAACTTGAAGCTCTTGCTAAATAGACAATTTTTGTTATGTAATTAAGTAATAGTGGAATATAAGATTTAAGTTTTTTATTTGTTAAAATTGTAGACCCATCCCAACCAACTTTTATTAAAAGAATATAAATTTAAATATTTTTATTTGTCAAATTGTAAAATTACACTTTATAATATCCAAATAAATATAAAATAATAAACCTTAATTTATTCAAAAAATGATTTTGGTCCAACTTGTGGGTTTAGTTTGGGTCGTAATCCAGCTAATGAAACTAAAATTGCTTCTTCCGTTCTAATTGTTTTTGAACCTTGCTCAGGTAATGTATTTAAGTAAACATCAAAAAGGAGCTTTGGATCTTCTGCATTTAGAGAAATGTCATTTTCAAGGGCAGCTTCCAAACCCTGTAAGCCTCCAAACATAATTAATGCATGCTCATAGGATGGGCATTCAAAATCATCCACTGAAGTTCCTTTGTCTGAAGTTCCAATAGTTAAATCATAACTAAAATTAAAAGTAATAAAACATTACATTTAACTAATATAAAATGTCAATAATTTCAATTAAAACTTATTAATGAACTGATGAGCATTTTTGAGATTCTTAATTTTTTTAATATACCTACTGGGCCAATTTTTTGTATTATTGCTATAAGGGTAAATGTTTAACTTTACTTTCATTTGTATCTTGCATTTCTATGGACTTAAAAGAACGCAATAATATGAGACGCCGTTTGTCCGTAAATTATTTTTGCTATATATAAGAATATTTTTTATATATAAACTTTAAATTTCCTATATATATAGAAACTTTTTAGTTCAGATAATGCCGCTTGAGAATGAGGGCGCTTTGCGGTTATCAACTAAAAAGCACTGTTGCCAGAGTGCCAAAGCAAAGTTTTGGTCAGTGTTTCCAACATAACGTTTCGCCAGATCTAGCTGATTTTAATAAGGGAAAAAAGATACTCTTACGGCTGACGGATTTTTTAACGGAAACTTGAACATAATATCGATCGTACAATTATGACAAATACCATTCGAATGGTATTTGTCATAATTGTACCTATATAATCTAATTTGTAAGAGTCCAAGTTTAAAAAAAAGTCTTTGTTTTTTTATAAATAGACCTATCCCATAAAACAGACTTTTGGATAGCGCGTGCCTGAAGAAGAGTGGTATCTCTTTCTCTTTTATATAATTAAAAAAAGACGACGTGCTTTTCACGCACGCGCTATCCAAAAGTCCGTTTTATGAGATAGGTCTATTGACAAGAGAAGCAAAACGTAAGAATTTTTAGTTATTTTAAATACCTACCCAAACAACACAGTACGTTTTAAAAATGTACATTTTTGGTTATATTTACGTACTTACGTCTTAAGACCAAAAAAATATGTATTAAGTACGTACTATATATTATGTACATAAAATGTAAGGTTCAGTCGTCCTCAGTACGTACATAGTATGTACAAAGAAGGTATGTACAAAATACTTCTAAAGTATTCCTGGTTGCATAGTGTGTACCGATCGCGGCAAAGGCGGTGTGGATCACGTGATGTTCTTAAATCTCGCCTCTGTTGACTTACATGAAGAGTATATAGGCTGAGATAGTCCTTTACTTTGGTATGACAATACAAGTTGTTTGATACTAGAGACCTTAAATAGGTGGAAACAGCTGTCAATTCTTGAAGAATTTCAAGTAGGTGAACGCACTAAAAACATTTCCTCTAGAGAGCTGAATGTTCAATATTCTGGAATAATACCACTGGTAGTGTACTAGTAATGCGTCAAGGAATTTCATGTTTCTTGAAAAATATAAAAAAGGTTTAAAAAAATGTTTTTTTTTATTTAGTCAAATCAGCCAAATGTATTTAGTTAAATCAAACAAATAATAGTTGGGCTAACTAAAGCTTTTTTATGTGTACGGAATAAAAGTACGATTTATTTATGTACAAACTACGTTCTTAATACTTGGTAAATGTACATACATAAAACGTATTATCGAGTGGAATTTGGACGTACTTAGTACGTACTTAGGATGTACATAAGATATCGCAGTACGTACGTAAAATGTAAGGTACGTCGAAGGTCGACGTACTATGTACGTACATAAAATGTAAACTGGTTGTTTGGGTATTAGTATAACCGAAACAGAAAAATAGAGACGGCTCTTCAATAAAAATAGACCAACCGACCAATATATTACCTAAAGGTATTTAAAAAAACTAAAGTCCTATACTTTTTTCTATCATTTTGTTCCGCTAGATCTGGCGGAAGATCCGTTATGTTTGAAACACTGACCAAAACTTGGCATTGGCGCACTCTGGCAACAGTGCTTTTTAGTTGATAACCGCGAAGCGCTCTCATTCTCAAGCGGCATTATCTGTACTAAAAAATTTCTATATATATATAGGAAATTTAAAGTTTATATATAAAAAATATTCTTAAGTATATATAGCAAAAATAATTTACGGACAAACGGCGCCTCATAAACTAGCCTAATAAATTGTATTTTAATATACAGACTACTAGTCTGAGACTAGTAACTATAGTACTATATACTCTTATACTCTTCATATTAAAATACACTTTTTTAGGCTAGTTCACTCGATAAGATTTAGGTACAGTCTAATAATAATTAAAATATTTTTAAATTCTAAGACCCCTTTGCTATTAGATCTCACCAGTGGCGGCTCGTCAGGGTAGGCCTCTGAGGCCGCGCCTCACCCTTAAAATGAAGGAACGAACGACTTTTTGTATTTATATTTTTGCCTATTACAAGTGTATTTTTACAAGAGTTCTACCCAATAAAAAGTAAAAAACCAATCAATCATATTAAGCGTAAATAAAAATCCAGGCGCAAAGCGCGTCAAGTTAACGTGCATCGTTGAGACGCCAGACAGAGGCGAAATTTTCACAGCCTCGGAAGCTCCCATTTACCTCTTGAAAGCAAAAATGACTCACCAACAAAAATATCGCCGTAAGTTCGCGAATAAACACCGTAGATGAGGCGATATTTAGTTAGCTTGGTTTGTTCTGATTGGTGGTCCGTTTATGGTGGGATGCCAGCGGAGACAAAGAAGGTTGCCAGTCTTCTCTTAGCGTTTGTAGAGCACGTTATTGTTTTGATTCAGATTAAATTATTTAAAACTTTTGGCTGATCTTTTATAGTTTTTGTCTCGATTAGTAAAATTTCTTATTTAATTATTGTAGGGAACACACTAAGGTAGATTTTGCAGTTTTTATTAAGCAAATTTTATATTTTGAAATAATAGATTGCATAATTCTTCAATTAGAGACGCGGTTTGAAAATTTAGAATTACTTTTAAATCTCACTGCAGACCCACAATTTTACGACCAAATAATAGATAAATTTTCAATCTTAAAAGATAGACGTATAGTATTTTATATTTTTTAATACTTAGGTAGGGGTCGACTTTTTAGTTTTATTTTTATTTTTTGATTAATTCATTTATTTTTAACTTTTTTAAGACTATATTTTTAAGTTTAGGATTAAAACTAGTCTTTGATGTGATATTTTGTTTGTTTTGTTTTTAAGAGTTTATTTTTTGGTTTAGTAGTGCTATCGGCTCCATTTTAAAAAAGGTCAACGCGTCGCAGAATAATACCTCCCGGGTGACGTGGAAATTTATTCGTATTTAGACAAAATTAACCTTATGTAGCCTCACCCTCCTGTACACCCACGAGCCGCCACTGGATCTCACTCTGCGGTTATATGAGCAGATTTGCGGCGGCACTTAAAGAGCTAGAACGTGCGGTAAAACTTATACAAATAGCTTAGGATTGTTGTGGGTAGGGATGCACCGGATCGGGTATTTTGCCGATCCGGCCTGAACCGGAATTTCGGCCGCTGGCCGGACCGGATCGCCGGAATTCCGGCCGGATTGGGACCTAAATTTAAAATGTATGTGCATGCCTATTTTTATACGTAACCCATTGAAAATATTGAGGCTGATTTATTTTTACTTTTTTTAAACTAGCTACAGTATGCAGAGTGTTTATTACTATTAATTTTACCTAGATAGAAATTACTGTTTATTTAAATATTAATTTTTAATAGCGTTAACAAAATTAAAACAATTCTACTCATTCAATTGGAGAATAGCAGCCACCTGCCAATAATAAAAAATTAAAAAGAAGTCGGGGAACCACAGCCGCCGGTCTATCATAGGCAAGGAAACACCTTCACTGTTGACCAATTACAAAATATATCTGGTCGAAAGTCGGGGCATCCCAGACGCGAAAGTCGGGGAATCACAGACGCGAAAGTCGGGAAATCCCAGACGCCTGCTAATCATAAGCAAAGGCACAGGGCTGCAGGCATGATACTAAATAAGACTGGTAATGTAACGCGCCGTATTAAGCGGCTGAAAAGTGGATCTAAACTTGGGTCACTGTTCGACAGAGAGGTCGAGAGAGAGAGAGACAACGCGAGAAAGGGCTATGCGAATCGTTCGGTTCTCTGCGAAATTAAGAAGACGCCGGTAATTTTTATTAATTTAATTATTAAAGCGATCCGGTCGGAACGGTAGTTCCGGCCAACTGGCCGGATTTAGTGGTACCGCCGGAATTCCGGTGCATCCCTAGTTGTGGGGGTTGTAAATAATAACAAAGTTATAATGATTTAAAGTTTTCAACCTCCTCCAAACATGTGACGTATGTTCAGTTATACAAGCAATATTTCTAAACTTAAATTCTTAATAGGTAATTGAAAAACTACTTATCAGAAAACAATTTGCAATATGAATGTTATATATAAAAATAATATATTGTACGTAACAAATAAATATTAATAAAAAAAATAACCATGCATCGTGGCTATTATAAAATTTATTTAATAAAATGTTAAAACTGGTAATCATAAAAGTGGTGCATTAATTTATAGTTTATCTCTTACCCATTTTTGTAGGTACATTGTGAAAACACTTGTGACAAAGAATTGGCAATTCTGACTGAATAACCCCAATATGTTCCAGTTTCATTTCTTGGTGTATCAGGTGAAACCACAACACCTTGTAATTTTTTTGCTTCAGTTTCTTGTGGTAATAATTTTACTGTACATCTTATCCCTGTAGTTAATAATTTATCCACCTGACAATCCTTGTACAAACCAACATTTACCAATGAACCTTTTCCAGCTTTCACAGGTTTATTTGTTACAACACCCTCTCTAAGAAATTAAAAAAATATAATTAGAGAAAATATCTTATAATTTAAAAATATTATTTTAAATTAAACATAAATTAATGTCCTTAAAAATGGAAGCTATGGGTTTGTTCATTGTGTCTGCACAAACCTACAGGTGTGTATATTGATGCAGGGCCGGATTTAGGCATGGGCCACATGGGCCTGGGCCCAGGGCGGCAAATTTTTAGGGGCGGCAAATTTTGAAGGCCAGTTAAAATTTTGCTAAAAAATCAAGAGCGTTTTATGCAGAATTTTTGTTTTCACTCAGATTTATACACTAATTAAAACTATAAAAAGTTGGAAGAGAAGTTTTTTAATACAATAGATAATTTTATATCAGACTACACTATTATTCTGCGTAGTGCGTAGAAGGGCGGCAGTCGATGTACACGAGGCGAGTGGGGCGCGACTCTAGCTTATTCGCTGAGTCATTCGTTATTCGGGGTAATGATGCGTTGGGCCCATGGGCGGCAAATTCGTAAATCCGGCCCTGTACTGATGTACCTACTTTTAAACTAATCAGATTTAAATATTGTGCTGTGCTAAGACAAGAGGTCGTTTCTATAGAAACTATAGTTTAAGTAAAGTTTCGAGTTATTTAAAGATTTCTGAACTTAACTGGATTAGTACTCATCATTTCTTAGGATTAGTACTTTCCCATCATTTCTTAAGCAACTAGTATAGTTATAACGGAGAATTATTGTCTGCTGTAAATATCAATCAGTTTGATATCATAGATATTACAGTAAAAGAATATTTGATAACTTTGATAGATACGACATTTGGACTAAGTAATATAGTCTTCTTTTTATAAAGTAGTATAACACATTTATTGTCAGAGATACGACTTTTCGTCGTAGAATGCACTTAAGACGTTTTGACTTTTGATTCGATTATATAAATTATATATCAGATCATGATACTAAATAAGACTCTTATGTAGTACCTATCATACCTTAGATTAATCAAAGTAGGAAAATAATTTATTTTTTGGTATAATTCAAGGTAACTGAAAAATCAAAATCAACCTCTATAAAAATTTAGCCCACTTTTCAATACATTCCTTGTAATTTTTTAAGTAATTTTTTTTCAAACTACACATATGCTTCTTGCAAAAGATTTAATTTATGGCTGAGTGATACCTTATTTTAAAGATTTTGCCGTCAAAATGCCGTCATAATTCAACAAGCTCTTCATTATATTTTGTTTTGTAAAATAATTTTTTCGAACCTCTAATAAAATTTATTTCACAAAAGTTTGATAAGTAGGGTTTAGGTATTGTTTTATTCAGTTTGAATCTGGATAAACAGTCATTTACGTCCGAAAAATCATTAACATTCATCTCAATACACGTTGTTTTCCCGCTATTTGACGTTTGAACACAGTTTTTGTAGTCCTCAAAATCTATAACTTTGCCTTTTTGTTTGAATGCCTTATCCACTTGATGATGAAATGAGTATGCACTCATAAATTTATAACCCGTTTGTAGATATTTGAGTTTTATGCAATTGGTATAGATCAGATAGGATATTTTGGACTATTTAAATTTAAAATTCATAATGCATATACCAAGAGGAAAAGTCTGTCAGATAAAACAATTTGACTTAGTAGAGATTAGATAGGATATTTTGATTTAGTAATTGGATAATATTTGAAAGAAACTTATTTGACTTATTTATGCTATATTAGGGTGCTTCAAAAAAAAATTTTAAATGTTTTTTTTTGCTCTTACCCTCTCAAATGTTTCTATTTAATATAAAAAAAATCCTCACCAAATATGGGCGTTCCAGCTCAACTCTAAGAGGTCGCTGTTTTTATTTTAGTTTCCCATTTAATTAACATGGGAAAAAATAATTTTATGTTTGGAATTTTATACCTCTGTATCAAGGTAACTTATGGCAATGATCATTGCAGTTTCTTATATAAAATGTAACGCTCTACAAAAAAGGTCTCTTATTATTTTTCGATAAATTTATTTCTTCTAGAGTTCTTCGAGATCAAAGTTTGATTAACATCAAATTTTCTGGTTTTTTTCATTTTTTGGTACAATTAGCAGAAGGGTGGTGAAAGGGGGCAAAACAAGGCAGCGGGGGGGGGGCAAACATTTTTTTTAGATTGTTTTTTTCGGTTTCTAAATTATTTGAAAATATATTGACTCACAAGTTCACGGTTTTAATCGAAAATAATTATTCTGAGCCTGTAGAGCGAGAAAAAGGAAGGTAAAAATTTGGAAAACCTTTCCATGGAACTTTTTTTTCGGAACTAGGGTGCTTCAAAAAAAAATTTTTTTTTTCAACTCTTTCTTTCCCAAATGTTGGTGATTGATAAAAAAAATTAAAATTTTTTTTAAGCACTCTTTTTTACCTTCCTTTTCCTCGCTCTACAGGCTCAGAACAATTATTTTCGATTAAAGGCGTGAACTTGTGAGTCAATATATTTTCAAATGATTTAGAAACCGAAAAAAACAATTAAAAAAAATTTTTACGAAATTTTTTGGGTACCTACCCCATTTTTTCCCATGTTAATTACATGGGAAACTAAAATAAAAACAGCAACCTCTTAGAGTTGAGCTGGAACGCCCATATTTGGTGAGGATTTTTTATATATTAAATACAAACATTTGAGGGGGTAAAAGCTGCCTAGGCTATATATTTTCTGACTTGGTACATTGATAGATTTTGGTTAATAGATGCAAAATATGCAAAGATCTGGAAATCCAATTTTTTGTTAGTTACAACCTCTTGTCTTAGCATGGCAGTATTGCTGCCCTAACCCACAATTATATATTATATACCCCTAAAATGCACAGTGTTTCATGAATTTAAAACATTACTTTAACACTATTGATTCTTTGCCTTATAACCTGTTCCAAATTCTTATTTACCCTGTAAAATAAATTAAAAATATTACCTAAACATGAATTCATCATGTACACTTAAATGATGAGGTGCATTAAGTGGGTTCAAAATACCAGAAAATTTAAGATCCTTATGAATAGGAAAAAAACACTTTCTTAAATATTGTGGGCATTCTAAATACTGTAAAATTCTTCCCAATTGTGTACAACATATTCTGGCTGTTTTAATTCCTTGATTATCCTGTAGCGTAGATTTCTTGGCATTGGCCTCATCAGAAAAATCATCGAAAACGACGATTTCGTCAACTTGAAATATACAAGCAGCCCTAGCAATTTGTCCTGCCAAGTATGTTCTTAGTTCAGGTGATTGAGCATTTTCTAAAATTGAACCTGCTACAGCAATTGATAGGGTGGATACAGGCTTAATTTCTTCCTTTTTTATAATTTCTTCAACCTTCGCCGCTTCTTCAGTTTCTGCTTCTAAAGTTTCTACTAATTTTTGCTTATCCATCTTTTTAAGCATATTGTTTTCTTTCCATTTTTTTTTCTCTTCCTTTTTAGTTTTATTTAACTCACTCCACGACTTTTTTGTTTTCTCGACCTTTGTTGGAACCATATTAATTAATATATAGCGACTGATGTGAAATAATACTGTTATGACAGTATTTTGAATATCTGAAAAATTGAGGTTGTGGTATTTTATTGGTTAGTCTTCTTCTTCTTTGATTTTAAATTTTCTAATAATTTTTTAATCGTAAAAATAAAGGCTTGTTTTTAAATTTAATTTTAATTTTTATAAGTTTTCAAATCACATTGGATTTATATAAGTATTTTTAATTTTAAAATTATTGGAACTAAAAACTTTGGACTTTGGAACTACTCTGGCAACAACGCAATGTCATTTGATGACATTCAGTACATTCAGTCAACTCAGGTAATTTACGTGAATAAGTAAATTTTTCGGGAGTATTTTTTCAGAAAAAGTCATGATTAAATGAAGCGAATGAAGTAAAACCCAATTTCGAGCTTCTATAAATAATTCCTGTAAAATGGCGATATTACTTTCTGTGTTGTCAGTCGTGAGTTCTATTTTGTTGACTCCCTTGTTAATGCTTCTATTATGCATTATATTTTTGGCTTCAATTGGAAAATCTCTGGGAGTGAGAAGATTGTATGTGAAGCTGCTGCTTATAATATTTGAGGTAATTTACTATGTGGTAATTTTGTTTTTAAGTAGGATGTAGCAATTACAAGCCATTACATAAAGTTTGTAAACATATGCACAACATTTATCTATTAAAGCCTTTTATTTAAAATAACTAATCAAAATATTTATAAAGATATGAGTATCAAGTAAAAGACATGTTTCCCCTTTTTAAGACAAAATACACCCTGGGTGGGCCATATTATGGTTTCCTTTTGAAATTTCTGTTAAAACTACATTATTAAATATTTTTAAATGAGAAAAAAGTACAATTTCCGAATAATTATAAATAAATGTGAGGATCGAAGATCCACAAACAATTGACACTGGGGGCCATTTTAACTAAAACTGTTTTCCATAAATAGTTAAAAGGTGTACTTTCTTGAATAACGCAACAATCATTTAAAAATATTCAACAGTGTAGTTTCAATAGCAATTTCAAAAAGAAACCATTACCCACCCTTTAGTTTTGGAATTAAATTTTATACAAGTAGGGCAATATGTATATTGTGTAAAATAGAATAGAAAATAACTAGTATATTCAATCTTTGAAAAATGTGTATTATTATACCTAAATTTAATATTGTTTATATTGAAAAAAAATGAATATTGAATTGTGTGTTACAATAAATATTTATTAAATGCATTTGGAAAATAAACACAAGTAAAAACATTGTAAAAACAATAAATTTAGTATTTAAAATCATGTAAAATCAAAATCTTTTTTACAAGGTTATACCTACTAGGAGTATTATACTTTGAGCTACATGTAATTATCTATTATAGATAATAATAGCTACATGTAATTATCTATAGCTATATGTAATTATCATATCATATTATATCATTTAAAATTATCATTACCTTATAAACATTATAATCTTAATTTGAATTTTTGATATACCCATTATTTAGTCATTATCTATTTTTTTTATCAATTGATCTAAACAAAAAAGTACAAAAGAATAATTTAGGTATATAAACCAGTTTTTTTTTATTAATTTTTATTTTACAATGTTGTAAGTCTTGAATTGTATTATTGTGAGTATTAAGGGGACATCCATTAATTACGTGAGGTATTTTTCTGATAATTTGGACCCCCCTCCCCTGGTGAGATGTCCCTCACGTGAGATTCTAGCCATAAATCTTTCTTTGCAGACAACATTATAAACCCCAAAAAAGTAAACAAAAAATGATTCACTTTTTTTAACAAAATTAAAATATAATACATATTCTTTAAACTCAAAAGTTGACGTGAGATTTTCAATGTAACCCCTTCTTTAAAATGATATTTGGTGAGATTTTTTTAGACCCCTCCCCCCATTTTTATATCACATAATTAATGGATGTCCCCTAATAATATTTAATGGTTTAAATAATAAATAAAGAAATTATTATAAAATTAGCTTTAAAACTAACGAAAATTGCATTTATATTTAAATTGGGTAATTAATAGCTGTTTAGCTAAAGTTAAACTTAAAGCTAATTTTATAATAATATCTTTTTCTACTCCCACCTTTAAAACGCCATTTATCGTACATGTTTCCATGACACTAAGTGATCTTTTAAATACACATTGACAAGTTGTGACTTTACGGCGCTTTAGTCACGGGCTGAATTTAGCAACAGGTTTTTAGTCACGGGCTGAAGTTAGTTTTAAGTTAGTTGACAGTTGTCAAATGTCATACAATCGTTAAAAGTGCCTTTCTTGTAAAATAATACTAAATGTGAAAATTATTTTATTATCTCAATACAAAAATATTAAATAGTTTCTTAAATTTGAAAAGTTTATATGAACATTGTACTGACCTTTTAATTTCGCCGGCAGTAAACTATAACTTAAATTCGGGCACGGACTCCACTGTAAAGTCCTCATAAAACATTTCCTTTACTTTCACTGTCAATTTTCAAGATACATTTCGATTTATAACCTTTATAATAATTATAATTATTATTATTATTATTTTTACATTTTATAAACACAATTATTGTGTTTATAAAATTTAAAAATGTGAATCTGAATGTGACATTTGAAAGTTTCCCCTGTTGTTTCATAGATGGCGCTCTATACAAATTTTTGATTTAAATCATTTTAAGATAATAATAAGTATTTGTCGTAGAAAAAGTATAGGTTTATAAACTTTTCTAAACACTCATTAACTTAAGCACTCGCTCGCAAGCTCGCTCGTGCCTAAATTAAATTCGTGTATAAAATGGCGTTTATCAAACTTGATACATAATATACTATTATGGTTTAAACCATTATCAGTTTATTATCTATCGTTTTTTAAACCCCATTTTAGTTTTATTAGGCACGGTCGAAGCTTGCGAGCAAGTGTTTAATAAAATCGAGTGTCTAAAGAAGTATATAAAACGAGTTGCATACTATACTTTATATACGACAAACATAAATTAGAATTTAAAGCCAGTTTTAATTAATAAATTTTGACATTTGACGAATTTAACCTCACTTTTTTGCAATTTATAATAAAGGTAACTTCAGCCCGTGACTAAAATGCCCAAAAGCCGCTGTTGTTAACTTAAGCCCGAGAATAAAATGTCATAAAGTTACAGCTCGCCAATGTAGGAGTAGATCAATAATATTAATATTAGTACCTGCAATAATGCAAATGTAAAATATTAAATATTGCCAAACAATTTGTTGACATCACATTTAAACTTGTATACTACCTTTTTTAAATTAGAATTAACTGCCGATTCAATTTCTGTATGATTTTTTTGACCAAAACGCATTTTTTTAAATTTGGACCAGTGTTTTTTATTAAGGGGTTACAAACATATGAGCTCGTAAAATTTAACGGTTTTTGGTCTCAATCCTTGGATAATTTTAAGGAAAAAAGTTCAAATCAGCTAAGTCCGCTTTATTCTGTAGATAGATATGTGGGTTTCATAGAAATCAAGCTTTAAACAACAATGCAAAAGATAAAAATTCCGCGTTTGTAATCTTTCCTTCAGATATCAGGTTTTAGGATATACATATGTGTACCCCAGAGCCCAACTATATTAAGTCCACTTTTTAAAAATCATGTTACACATTTTATGCCTACATTTGTCCTCCCTTTCCAATGGAAAACAAGATTAAGTCCTGGCTTACTTAGTTTTTCGATGTATCAAAAACTAATTAAGCCAGGACTTATTCCTGATACAGCTAAAAAATGTAGGCAAAAAATATGTAACGTGATTTCAAAAAAGTGAACTTGATATAGTTTGGATCTGAAGTACAGATATAAAGATATACATATGTATATGTATTTAAAATGTACTATCGGTTATTTATATATATTTTAATCTCCACTTTAGATAAAACAAATAACTATGTAGGTATTATATTGTTTAACAAATCATTATAAATTGCCACATTTAAAATCTTATTAATGCAAAACATTTTCGTGTTAAGCAGAAAGTTAACTACAATGTTACAATTATGGTTTACACATTTTCGCTTAACACAAATTTTCTTTAAATTGGTTCAGTCTTATAAAATGAACATTTAGGTAAAATTGTTTATATTAATTGGAATGCAAACATTATATCGACGCAAGTAGCTAACTTTCTTTGTTGTAATTGCGTCGACATAATGTTTACTAATTACTCTCTTTTTTATTTAATTTATTATACAGGGTGAGTCATTTAACTTGAAACTTTGGAATATCTCAGTTAGTATGCATTTTACGAAAAAAATGTTTAAAATAAAAATTAAATGATTCGAGGGGGGAAATCAATCTGTACTAAAATTGGTCCTCATACTCTCCTCCTTATAGGGGGAACAGGGGGTAACTTTAAAATTTCCAATGGAACACCCTATTTTTTATTGCAGATTCGGATCATTCGACTAAAAATAGGTAGATTTTGTCTAACACATTTTTTCATATTTGTGATAAATTCCGCTGTAATGAAAAAAAAATCAATTTTGTTCAATTTTTCTTCTGTATGCGATTCTCCAATAATTTTTAAATAAAATACTTGGTTTTATTTTTTTAGTTACCCCTGTTTCAACCTGTGTACAGTTTTTCCCCGGATATCCGGATATCCGGATGGGGTTGCCAGGAGAAGAAACTTTCTTATTTTTCATTTTACGAGAAAAATGTATTCTTTATAATGGTTTTTGCTTGTTCCAAAACGGCTGAATCAGTTTTTACTGTTTCAAATTTCCTTTACGTTCCAGAGAAACAACAAAAAAATAGGTCGATTTAGTTTAACATTTAAGTCCCATTTCGTTTTCATGGCAATTTGGAGAGAATTTTATCGGCCGAAATGCTCCTGTTTTATGGCCACCGAGGAGCCCTAATTTGACTATTGTAGATTTTTTACTTTAGGGTCGTTTAAAACAAATAGTTAATGCAAATGATCTTCCTCCGAATGTGGAACGTTTAAAGGAGAGAATCAGAGATGCTGTGGCCTCTTAACCGCTAGAATCCGAAAAAGTTATAGGGAACTACGTCAAAAACTTGAGCTATGCGTTCAAGGAGGTGGTGAATGGATCGAGTAAAATTTATTATTACCTAGTTTAATTTTTGAATTGTAATAAAAACTTAAATGTTCAACTAAATTGACCCATTTTTTATGTTTCTCTGGAACGGAAAAGAAATTTAAAACGGTAAGAACTGATTCAGCCGTTTTGGATCAAGCAAAAACTGTTATGAAGAATACATTTTTTTTTAAATAAAAAATAAGACAGTTTCTTCTTTTGGTAACCCCATTCGGGTTTCACTTAATACTTCTGGCATAAATATTTTTCTATAACTAAAAAATTATTTTAACTAAATAAGCCCTGTTTTTTAGTTATAGTAAAATATTTATGCCGGAAGTATTAACTGTACCCAACCTAAATATTTTACTAAACCTAAAAATAGTGTTTTAATAGGCGTAAAAGTAATGACAATATTTTTTAATAAAATTGACCAGATAAATTTAAACAAAGAAACTTTTTATAAGTTCGGTTAGATTCAAAAAAGTTGTACCTACATACTTTAGGCTAGAATAATACAAAATATTATGGTATAACTTATTTTTATGACAAATAAACCATTTCATCTAAAAAATATCCTTCATGGGCATAATTTAAAGAATATTTCTCTTTGGCCATATCAGGCAATTTTCTGAATATTTTTGCCCAATCTTTAATAAAATATTCTGAAAATTGCCTTTTTTGACCTAACAACCCGGACAACAATCGGGATTTCCTGGTGAAGTCATGATGATATCACAACGTGATTTTTTTTTATCACGCTGTGATATCCTGAGTGCATACACATGCTTCATCACAGTGATATGTAGAACTCACGGTGTGATATTTGCGAATATTTTCTTGGATTTAAATTAACTATAAATAGTTAATTTAAATCCAAGAAAATATTGAATGTTAAACTGTTGATTCAATTGTTAACATACTTTTTCTTTCAATGTACAAATGTTTCGCAAAAATGAATATCCAAACACCGATGGCATAAAAAATCATGTCGTGATTTTTTATGACCAAACACCGATGGCATAAAAAATCATGTCGTGATTTTTTATGCCATAGGTGTTTGGATATTTATTTTTGCGCCACATTCGCAGAGAAAAAGTATAGCCACATATATATTGAATCAACAGTTTTTGGTGGTTAAATACATTCAATATTTTCTTGAATTTAAATTAACTATAAATAGTTAATTTAAATCCAATTTTAAATCCAAGAAAATATTAAATTTTATATTAAAATATTTAACCGCAAAAACTGTTGATTCAACATAATTTTCCTCTTAGTGTACGAACGTGGTGCAAAAATGATTATCCAAACACCGTTGGCATAAAAAATCACGACATGATTTTTTAGGCCATCGGTCAATCGCAAACAGCGATGGCATAAAAAATCACGACATGATTTTCATTTCTCACGCAGTGACATCCGGATGATGTCCGTATGAATAAAATTTATGAAAATCACGACGTGACGTTCGTAAGATTTTCATTTATCACGCAGTGACTTCCGTATGATATCAGTATGAATAAATTTTGTGAAAATCACGACATGATGTTTGTATGAATATCACGAATGTTGTCTGGGAAAGTAAAACTATTCCATTACAATTTTTTAGTACGGTCGCATAGACATTGAAACGGCCCGAAGTAACGAAAAAATACTTGATGATCTCGAAGACCTCAGCAGCAAAGACGAACCGTCCACAAAAACGACAGAGAAGACTATACCGAATTCAAACGCAACATCAAACGGGGTTGTCCTGAATGGAGATGTCATAAGAAGAGATGATACGCTTATATTGGTGCCAGAACCTGCAACCGGCCTACCAAAAGCGCAGGATTCAGACGAAGAGGACAAAAACAAATACGATTTTCATCTCAGCGAAGCTTTTGATTACATAAAAGTAGGCGTGGAGGCCATCATCGAGGATCAGGTCACGTCAAGGTTCGAAGCGGAAGAGTTGAAAAATTGGAATCTGTTGATTAGGACCAATAGAGGCTACGAGTTTATATCGTGGAAGCTGACCGTTATTTGGCTGTGCGGGTTTTTTATTAGATATTTTTTCTTATTCCCGCTAAGGGTAATGATCTGCTTTTTTGGGGTAAGTACAATTCAAAATTATTATTATTTCATTATTTAATCTCAACTATACACTAATAGGATCCAATTAAATTTATGTCCTCACAGCAGTTTATTATACATTGTACAGGTATTTTATTATATATTTTTATGCAAATGTGGTTTATACATGTAATATTGAGATAATGTCTATTACTATGTTCCCATTATCAGATTTTGTACAAAATTGAACTTTGTATAATTATCTTGTTGACAAGGCAACTTTTCCTAGATAAATATAAAAAAACAAACAACCCATTCTATTATTATGATCCAAAACCCCAGAACAAAATTTAATGTAAAAATCCATTTTTGTGATTCAACTTTTATTTCCATTAGGTTTAATAGAAACTGAAGGCCCAATTAACATGTTTTCTAGAAAATATATCTGTTGTACTAGTCTACAAAACAACTACTGTAATTAATTATTTAAACATATTTTATACAGTTTTATATTTTTTAATGATTGTTGAATATTTTAATATTTTTTTTTTATTTTGGGTGTAACTCAACTGTCCATAAGTGAGTTTTCCATATTAAAGTATGTCTCAAGATAATCTGAATTCACTTTTTTAAAGATTGCATTTTACTACATATTATGTTCAATATTAGTTTATTTATAAAGAACTGATAAAAAATGTGATCTTGATCAAATTCTGAATTGAAACATTTTATTTAAAAAAATGACTCGCATGTCAAAACGGCAATCCGTTTGAAAAGTTTTTGCTTATATTTAAGTCAATATTTATTTTTTTATTTTATTTTATGAATTTGTTGTAAATTTAATATGGAATTCATTTTTACAAAATATATAATTAAATAAATATATAATTATATAAATTATTTCCTTATTTTAAATAAAATTTGTCAATGAATTATTTAATTAAATTGCTTAAAGTTACAACTAAAGTTCGTTAATTATATTTTTAAAGTTAATTTTCGTTTATATTAAAGTTTTATCCTTGATAAGTTTATTTATAGGTATATCTTTAATCAATCCATAAATTAAACTTTATTTTGTCAACGCTCGACACTAAATTGATTGATTGGTACCATAGTATACGCTATGCGCATGCCTTCGTGCAAGATTATTGCGTATTGCACGTAGAATTGCAAACTGTAAAACGGGCTTTGGCGTCAGTGATTTCATTATTCATCGTTATTTGGACAAATCATAAAATTCGACTTCTTTTAGACAGTTTCAACCTCACTTTCTACTTTACATAATTGTATGTTTCATGTATCGCTTAATAAATAAAATTGGCTTTAAGTCCTAAAAAACCTTACAGCCTTAAGATAAAATGTTGTATGCCTTTCAGCCCAGTTTTTTGTGCTTTGCATAATTCAAACATTAAGCTCAGCACAATGGCCTTATGTATAAATAAATATTTACTGAAAAAATTAATTGACATAATTTATTCAACAATCGGTGCTTCATTAAATTGCCACAAATAACTTTTTTTTTAAATTAATGTAACTTCCACAGTGACAAGCTGTGACTTTATGGCATTTTAGTCACGGGCTGAACTTAGCAAGATTGGCTTTTGGGCATTTTAGTCACGTGCTGAAGTTAGCTTTATTATAAATTGCGAAAAAGTGAGTTTAAATTTGTCGGATGTCAAATATTTAACAATTAAAATTTGCTTTAAATTCTTATTTGTGTTGGTCGTAGATAAAGTATAGTATGCAACTCGTTTTATAAATTCTCTAGGTACTTAAAAATAAACTTATTATAGATAAACTATTAATTATTACTATAAATAACCTTTGAAATACAATGTATTAACTAACTTTAAGGGATTTAAAATTCCAGACATACAGTGTGTCCATATGTCTAAAAATTTAGTCAACGACTTTAAAGTTTAAAATTAAATTACAATTATAAAATAACTATTATTAATTTATGTGCTTTAAAAACTGCCAATAATTTAAATGTTATTAAACAAACTTAAACCTGAAAGCCTTATATATTATATAACGCAAATATTTTGTATAGCTCTTATGGTTGGTCTTAACAACAGGATTAATATCGTTTTTACCTGAAAGTACATTTAAAATATGCCTGGTAGAGAAGTGTTACGTTATATCCTTTAGGATATTAACTAGAAGCGTTTCTGCCATTATCAACATACACAATAAACAGTGGCGGCCGCAAAAGGCTTCAGTTTGCGTGGCAAACCACACCACGCCAATTGACGTGGTATTTTTATCAAACGATAACGCATACTCTTTGGTGAGTCGAAATATTGGCCAAATTATTAGATGCTGGGAATCGAGTGTACAAGTTTTTGTGCTGTCCTTTTAAAATGGTTTATAAAAAGTACTGCTTTAGAAACTATAAAAAAATTCTGGGATTTATCTAATAAATAATATTATAGAAAATTTTAAATCGTTTAGGTAGAAAATAAAAAATAAAGTGTTTCGTTAAAATTCACAGAAAATATAAATAACATTTGTCTAACAAAATTTGAAAAGTTTTCATATATCGACATAAGAAGTTCTTAATATCTGCTTAAGTTTGTATTTAAGCCATAGTGATTAAAAGAGCTTTAAATATTGTAAAATATTATTAATTCAATTAAAAAATTCAATTAAAAAATGTTGGATCATATTTTTAATTGTGTGTCAGGTATAGCTGGAATCACCCACATAAAGTTTTTTTAAGTAATTTTTTTTTATTAAAAATTGGAATCAAATTTATTTATTTTCATGTAAAAAGCAAAAATTAGCTTATGGGTCGTCCATATAGTACTTCACAAGTTTAGGGAAGGTGGTCAAGAACTTGTGGCAATGTGTAACATAATAATTTAATTATCCGTGACTTAAGGTGGGGAGGCAATCCTAAATTTTCACAAAATTCGTGACGTTCTTTCTTATTTTTAAATAAGAATCTAAATTAGATGTAGAAAAAAACAATATTTATAAACAATTAGTAGAAATAAATTTTAAATATTTTTTTTTTAAATTATGAATTACGAAAATACAAGAAAAAAATGATTTTTTCAAAACAGCAAAAGTCAATTTAAAACTGATTTGTCCAAGACTGTGTATACTTAAAACAATATTTCTAACTTGTGTTTAATTTATTGCTAATTTAATATTTTCAAACATATTTTTTTTAAAGTTTGCATATATATTACTTTTGTTTCTACAAGAGTCAGAGCCCATCAGATGTCTCAATAGTATACTAAAGAACTAATGTCATAAGACGTCATTTTTTCTATTTGGTAAAATTTTAGAAAAAAAAATTCGAATTATAAATTATACTGTTGCCATTGAGACAGTACGAAACGCAAATGCGTATTATGGTATACAAATAGAAAAAAGTAATTTTCAAATGGTTTCTAAACGATCAGATTGATGCAGTAATTTATTAATCTTGTAGGCAAGCTACTGCGTGTAAACAAGGTGTTAAGAAAGTGATTGGGGAAAATGTAAATTTTCATGTTTTTAAATTTCTAGATTATAAATTTGATAATGAAAACAACATATTTATGTTATAATTTGACTAAACCCGCTTTTCGCAAATTTTGTAGACTAATCCCATTGTTCATGCGCAGTAGCTTATTGTTAGGTAGGTATCTATTACCTTCTTTAAATATGATATTTTTGTTTATTTAATTGCGAATTTAAATCAAGCATATTTGTATTTTGAATGAAATCATTGTATTAACACTATAAATAAGTAAAACACACATGCAAAATAGCTCATGGGCTGTTTTAGGTTAAATTTGAAAAATTTAAAAGTGCTTAGGGTGATTTCATGATTACTAACGGGACCAACAAAAAGAAAACATAATGTTTTATGAAATTTTTTGAAGATTTGTTGTTTCTATAATAATAATTTTATGATAGTTCTCAGCAATAAAATTAAGTAATAATAACTATCATAAAATTATTGTTATAGGAACAGCGTATACGTATATATCTACAAAAATATTCATAAAACATTTTGTATCAGTGGCGTATTTAGGATTTAGTTCCAGGGGGGGTCCAAAAAAACTAACTAAATATGTACTATGCTATGCTTTAATAACTAAAAAATCACAAATTAGGAACTCTTCTGATCTGATAAAATAGAAACTAAAAGGAACTTTCTAAAAAAGGAACATTTTTGTTTTGATTAAATTAAAAATCATAACGACACGAGAAAGAGGTAGAACGATATACCTACAGGGTTGCCAAACCACCTCTTTCTCTTTAATACGTAAGTAGTTGATTTTTGATTTTAATGATTTTATATTTAAATATAATTAATAAATAATAAAGTACGTTGACAGTCTTGAGGTTTTTAGTTTTTTTTAACTTTTTTTTGTAATAAAAATAATAAAATATGTGCGCCCGGGGGGGGGTCCGGACCCGGCGGACCCCCCCTAAATACGCCACTATTTTGTATTATTTCTGTCCAAAACAATTTAGTTAAAATATCAAATAAAATTGGCTTTAAATTCCTTGCGGTAGTTGAATATATTTATATAGTATATTGTAGACTCAGGCTGTAGTGACATTTTTTCAGTCTGAAAGATGAAATGTACAGGCGAAGTTTAGCCTGGACACTTCTTGAAGACTAAAAAATCACTTTACTGCCGGTTATTTTTCTTCGTACATAATGTCAACTGCAAAAAACTACTAAAAATGTGAAGAGCAAATTTTGACATTTAAAATTATTCAATTTTGATATTTATAGCCCACTATATAGAAAAAAAGTAAAACAAGGCAAATGGGAGTATTTTTGCTACGCTAGCCGTAAATAGAGTCCCTATAAGAAGAGAGTCGGGTCATCTCTGCCACAAATCCTATTGGTGCATTAAAATTGGATCTAAACATGGCGCGAAAATTAATTTATCATTAGAATAAAAATCAAACACCTAGAAAATAATAAAAATTAACATTTTTAGTTATTTTTACTATTTTTTACCTATTAAACAATTCTTAATCAATTTATTACAAGAAACACTTCTAATGTCACGTTTTAACTCTGTAAAAACCAAAATAACAGTTGACACGGCCACCTACTAATCTTAGTAAATAGCTTCTAAGCTACTTATAGACTCTCTTCTTATTGGTACTATAGCCGTAGAAGCACGTACTTTCTCGCTTCTATGAAGACAGTTAAATTCAACTTTACCGTAGTGTGGAAAGAAATATATTGTGTGACTATCTTTCAAAAAGAAGATTCCACTCGCGTGGGAACGGCAAACCACGCTCGAGGAATCTCCTTTTTTCCACTAGCCGCACAATATTCAGTAATAAACTTAATATTTTTTCCAAAATTTGTTGCTGTTAATTTTTAATTATTATTTATAAAAAATATTAATTTTTCGAATATCACCACAAAAAATCACTTATTTCGTAAAATTCACAAAAACAAGCCATTTTATCTAATTTTCACTATGTCTATAACTTGAAAACTTTTTGAATTGTTGCTATTTTTTTTATTTCGTATTTACTGTAAATATTTTATTAACATTCAGGATTTAATATAAATAGTTAATCAAAGAAGAAGTCTCATATTTTATTAAGAAAACACGAGTATAGAAAAGTAATTCGTAAGACTTGAACCACGGTTCAAAAAGAGTGACACAAGCTTAAATACCAGAATTTTTTGTTGAATGTTGTGTTTGTTGCATTTACAGGTATGGTGGCTAACGTTATGCACCGCATTAGTTGGATACGTAAAAGAGGGTGATTTTAAACAAAGGCTTAATAAGTATGTTTCGTTAATGTGCTTTGGAATCTTGTCGACCGCATTGTCATCGGTTATTTCGTATCATAATGAAGAAAATCGTCCTAAAACTGGGATTTGTGTTGCAAATCATACATCGCCCATCGATGTTTTAATATTGATGTGCGACAATTGCTATTCATTGGTAGGTTTAAATATTGCTTTGGATTGTATGTATTTAGTACCAATAGAACAACTGTCAAACCAGTCACAATTAAAAACTTTTTAGTTGAAATATTTATTTAAAATTTCATAATTATTGTTGATCTTTCAATAAAATTTTATTAACACTGCCGTTAATAAGTTTAAAACATACTTAAGTAAAATTTTCGACGAAAATGAGATTTTAATATCAATCGATCCGCATGAGAATTCTGAATCTATCTGCGAAATAAAAATTAGGAAAAATGAAATTTTTTTATTTTTAATTTTAATGCATTTTTTCTTATCTATCTCTCGAAACAGTTGTATTTGCATTATAATGCGTCATCACATTACAACTAAGAACGACCGTAAGTCGATTTATGTCCTTTTTAAGAAGTTCAAGTTACAAGGGTCTTCCAAAAATTATTTAATATTTATTTGATATGCATTTTCGCTTCGTGCTCAATTCTTCCCGAGTTTATGCTTCACAACCAAAAGTTCTACGTTGACATTTCAATTAAAATAATTTATCAATTTTTCTAATTTTGTCTTATTTTCCAAAAATAATACAATATAATATATTATGTATACAGGGCGCACCAAGTACCCTTCTATGTGTATACTTCTATGTGTATTTTTTTATTTGAAGAGCTACAAGGTGATTAAATTAGGAAAAAGTCCATTAAGAACACAATTAAAAATTTAAAGAAAAAAAAAATCAGCTGTTCTGAAATAATTTAAAAACAAACGAAAACCTGTCAAAATCAAAAACTTATTTCTGGAAATTTTGAAAAAAACTAAGTTTGACATTTATCTACATTTTCATCCAATTTGTTTTTCCTATGGCTGCCATATTGGAATCTTACATGGTAAGATAGAAAATCAATCAAAGGAATCCAACGAAGTAAGAACAAAACATAATTTTAATTGTTAGAACAATAAAAATATCTTTTGCCCTCAAATGTCAAGGTGGTACTTTTGGGTGTGGAGAATAATACATTGTACTATGTTTTAAGTGCAAGTTTAATGAGAAATTGTTGGGAACAATAGAGAGGCCTTAAAATTGTATTAAACCTTAAAAGGCTGTGTTTCTCTCTTATTTTTGAGTTTTAATACAAAACTTACCTACTTGAAAAATTGTTCTATTTGTCATTTTTGTTTTTATGGATATGTATGTGGACACGAATTTATTTAGGAATTTTTAGCAACAATAACCAGGACCGCATTCAAAATTTATTTTTAAGTTTTGATAAAAAAAGTTACTTAAATTATTTGTTTGTCTAATTGAATTTTACAGGCTGTTAAAAAAAGCGTCAACTTAAAACCCACTCTGTATTGCCAAGGATTTAATAAAGGAATATCAT